AGAAGGGCTTCACTGGGGTACGACTAGATTACTCACCAGCAGCCCTTAGGGCTCCCACATCCACAATAGGATGTCGATCACTTAACAGTATCATCTTTCACTGCGACTTCTTCGTCACTCAAGTCATATAATTACATCTCGCAGTATTAACATACTCATCAACATGAATACCGAAACCGCCAATTCCGCTAATAGGGGCAATACTGAACATATAAGTTCAATAACACTTGCTCACAAATCAGCACCTCGGTGCTCAGCCCAATAGGCAAGGATCGGCTCACCACACATCCAGACCTGGCCCAACATACTCATGAAGATTACATCTCGCCCCTCGGATCGGGGAATCAACAAAACATCAGGCACATATAAATACTGAGCGCTCGCGTGCGCATACAGACGTGTGGAAGGAATTTCAAGGTTATGTTCTCAAAGCTGAATCAAGTAACGCACGATAAGATCCAAGTAATGATTTTCCTAAAGGTTCTGCAGCCTTCTCGAGGATAAATACAGACGTCCCCGCACCGATACGCGAGACTCTAACTAAACCTCTCATGCTCGTGAGACCATAACCTAAGGCTCTGATACAAACTTGTTCACGACCCAAATTCCCATACCCGGTCGTGATGGCGCCTTCTTCGTGAAGACAAGGCCAGCCAACTAACCCAATCCTTCAACTAAAATTATTATAACATAAATGAAATAGAAATACAACTTAATGGCATTAGAAACTGTTAATCACTACCCGACCGGGGTGTCATCAAGTCACCTGGAGCATCAAGGAAACCTTAACACAACTACAGGCCAATAAGTATATACAAGTAAAAATTATCTTGGAAAACAACAGACAACATCCGTGCCGCGAACGCTGGGCGGTCACCTTGCTCAGCTAAAAATAAAAACTTCAATCCGCTAATAACCCGGCTACCGGTGAAACGATACTGCAACTTCACGCGAGGTGCAGGGAGTAAAGTGAGTTACTTCCACTCAGTGAGTAAATAAGAAGTAAATAATAACTGAGAGGCAAGAAATACTAAGAGCACTCCATCATGCTATATAGGACAGTACAACCCTTTGAGAAAAAGTAAAACCGTGAAAAATCCTTTAGAAAATATAGGCTAAGTTTTTACAAAACGCCCTTTGAAAATATCCTTTTCCAAACAGTCAAGCAAATGAAATTTTGGGTAATCAGATAATGCCAAGTCCGACATAAGTCAGGCCTCCCCTCGGGCACAACACTCCACTAATAAAATTAACACAGGGCGTCTGGTAAACCAGTGCAAGAAGTAGCATGAATGCCAATGAAATGAGGTGCTGAATGTCATGCACGTATTACAGAACAGAAACCAAATGCATGAATGCAATGCAATGCATATGACCGCTGCGGCGCGCAGCCCATCCATTTGGGACCGCGCTCACTTTGGGGGTTTTCAAGACCTCCTGAGGGCCCGAGCGACGCTTCTTCCACAGGGGCTGCGGCGGCTGCACCCGAAGGCCATCCATATATCCAAATCACTAAACGACGCTGCGATCGCTGCGTGGGTCGCGCAATGCCGATCCATCTCAGTTCCGAAATGCACATTTAAGCCCTTGGGCAATAATAAACATTACATCCTCCAGATTCAAGACTCATTAAAAAATATTCCTTTTTTTAATTTTCAAATCTATTATGCTGAATTTGGACACATGTCATAAATGTCGCCCTTGGACCGAAGTCCAAATTAACTATTGCAGTAATTTGCAAAAACGCGATATCAATCTCAAAGGATTCAAATAATCGCCACGCCCTACAGCAAAACATGGATCAGCACTCATCGCGATCCACCCAACGCTCACTCCTCTCTCACATCACTCACACCGCTCACGCTCACATTTATCAATCGGGAAGACCAATACACAATGCCCCAACGGTGCTCTACCCCGCTCATATTCGGCGTCAAGTCACCTCAATCAATACATAAAGATAGACAATTAACACAAGACTATGATGTGCCAAATCCGGGGTTTACCAAACCCTTAGATATCAATTTACAAGTATACTCACAACTCAGACTCGGTGAATCTCTTAGCTCCTGCGGAGACGCCTTTGCCTCGAATCGGCTCACGCGCGTCGAATTAACCAAAATCAGAGCG